TTAGCTTAGATGAGATGTTAACTTGTTTGTTTTTTCCTATGTCTTGGTTACTGACAATAACTTAGAAATAGTCATGTTCAGCAGTGCAGTAGGTTCTGGCTTAAGCAATCTTTTGTGTATTCAAAGTTCTCACTGTCCTTCCTGTGGACCCTGTGTTCTCTATTATTGTTGTTGTTGTTAAGTGTTGTCAAGTCTGTTCTGACTCATAGCAACCCTGTATAGGGTTTCTGAGGAGCTGCTGGTGGGTTTGAACCACCGACCTTGTGGTTCCCAGTCTAGTGCCGATCCCACAGCGCCCCCCAGGAGTCCATGACTGTGGGTTTATGTTTTTTTCTCCTCCAGTTGCTTTGAGAATAAGCGTTTCTTTCTGCCAACAGTTACGCAGTTTATGCATCTTCCAGGGGTCCAGTCTGCCCGCTTCCTCATTTTTATCTCACCATGAAATCTGTACTTGTACATCCCTCCTCAGGACTCAGTTATCCCAATGAGGGTGTAGAAATACGGAGTAGGGCTGACTCTTGCTTATACACGTCCACTGTTGAGTGCTGTGTCTTTCCAAGAAGGTCCATCCTGTCTGGACGATGGTTCAGATGGTAAGGCCCCGCTAGGCATCTTTTCCTTCTTTGCGGGCAATCTGTGTCCTTTTGGAGAGGGTCCAGCTGTGGGTGAGGGATTCTACTGACAGCATTCTCAGCACAGGGGGAACGGGTTGCCTTCTGGCTTTTTGGAAACAGGCCATGTGCACATGTGCAGTTCAATCCAGACTGGGCCGGAGCTCAGCGGGGTTTTGCCTGACACCCCCAAGGGCCCCTTGTCGAGTCTGAAAACAGAGACTCCTTCTGGGCCCTGCACAAACGAGCAACTCCTGTGCTGGGAAGCAGCAGTCCCACCTGAGGTGGGAGGAATTTCCACATCACATAGAACCTCCTCCTTGGGGTCTCCCTGGTCCTCATTCCATTGACCCTTCCATGAATCCTCCTGGCTGAGGAGAGCTGGCAGGGGAGAGCTGTTTGACACCCAGGAGTGAAATGGGAACACAGGAATGGAGTCTCATTTGGAGACTGGGGGTCTGGGAGCCACAGATGGAAGTTCCTGAGAGATGTAAACAGTGAACGCCGTACTTTGCTGCTTACCAAAAGGTTGGAGGTTCAAGTCCACCCAGAGATGACTTGTAATACAGGACTTATAATCTATTTCTATAAAATCAGCCACTGAGACCTGCTCTAACACATATGGGAGACGCCACAGAAACTGGTTAAACTTCCTGCTCCACACAGGTCCTGCTGAGTCACCCACTAAACCTAGCGCCCAACCTTGGCTGCCCCTGAGAACTACCTGAAGAAGCTAGGGGGAAAAAAACAACAAAAGCACGACGCCTTGGCCTCTGAAATTCTGATTTTATTCATTATGAGGCCGGAACATCGCTCCTTTTCTTATTAATTCCTTTATGTTGCAGCCAAATCAGCTGTAACTCCCAACAGTCCCAGGAGTAGAACTGATCTGCCAGGCCTGGTTTCCTAGCTTCAAATCTTTACGGAGGAGCTCTGGTAGCACAGTGATTATGAATTGGGCTGTGAACCACAAGGTCAGCAGTTTGAAACTACCAGCTGCTTCACGGGAGAAAGATGAGGCTTTCTGCTCCCGTAAAGATTTACAGCCTTGGAAATCCTGTTCAGGGGCGCTATGGGTCGGAACCGACTCGACGGCACATAACAACAACAACAACAATCTTTATGGAGTAGATCACCAGGTCTTTTGCCCATGGGGCAGCTTCAGGAAATCTCTTTAATGTCACTTTGAAGACTAAGGGGCCCCTGACCCAAGCCATGGTATTTTCAATAGTCTCATATGCATGTGAGAGTTGAACAGTGAATAAGGAAGACTGTAGAAGAAATGATGCCTTTGAATTATGGTGTTGGAGAAGAGTATTCAAAGTATCATGGATTGCCAGAAAAACAAACAAATCTGTGTTGGAAATACTGCCAGAATGCTGCTTCTTTTTTTTTTTTTAATGTTTTATTATGAATTACATGATAGTTTACATCATTAGTTTTACATTCATTCTATTGTATATCGTTTCATTGCCATGGTTCCAATCTCCTCCATGTATCATCAACCAAGCCTGCCCCCTACACTCCCCACCCCCCCCTCGCCTCCCAGTCGTCAGCATACAGCCCCTCTCCCTCTCTGGATCTAAAGTCTCCTGCTGCTCCCTTGCTCCACGTCATCATCTCTGCCTCCATTTCAGGCATCACTGCTTCTCTGTGTAGGGTTCCGCTCTCCGTTCTTCTCCCTTGATGGTCCTAGGGACCTCCGCTCCTAGACTAGAAAGTCAATCACTCCCCTCCTTGCTATAAAACGTCTACCTTTACATTTCCAACCCTCACAATCAGTCCTGATAACAATTATTCAC